GGTGGCGCTTATTTAATTTTTCCAAATCGTGGTCAGATCTCTCCGGGTTTTTTTGTAAAATATGTATGGGTCAGGCCCTCAGAAGTCTCAGAAGGATTCTGGCTCTCTTGAAGAACTGCGTAACACAATCCTTTTTAGCCGGTTTAGGCCTGCTGCACAAGGTTGGTTGAGCTTGAAGCAATTAATCAGCAGATCTTCACTACCATTCGTGGCGAAGGTCAATTCGCAGCGCTTGAATGAGTCGATAATCACTTGCTTGTGATTGAATACGACCAAAACTACACATCCTTTGTTCTCTCAGTGCTCTCCCATAAAACAGGGGGAAGGGAGGCGCCTATTCGAGGGGAGGCGCTTATTTTAAATTTAGCCGATTGGCGGGGTGCTTACTTGAAAGGGGCGCTTATTTGAGGGGTAGCGCTAATTCGAGTATTTACGGCATGCGTATTTTTTGGAGTCTCCACTTTTAGGATCTAATTAAGTTATCATTTTCGTCTTTTTCCTTCCACTGGCGCAGCGCAAACAATCCGGGTTTTCAGTCCGAATACCACTTCACTACTGATACGCTGGGGACACTTGAAGCCATATTTTCTCTCTGATGCAGTCGATGGTTACCAGATAAGCGTAACAAGCCTCAGCGGTGAAACAACAAAAAGTAACGTCTGCATCCTGGCAAATGAGATAGAAGTTACTGGATTAGAAAAATATGCGGAGTATTGCATGATCGTGAGGGCATTAACTGGAGAAGGTTACGGGAGTGAAAGTGATGAAGTCTGTGCATTTACCGCGGAAGATGGTATGAACGTAGCTCGTCCATGAGGCTAATACGGGGTCATTAAAAAAAAAAAAAAAAAAATAGGGACCTAAAGGGTACATGTGTGGGATACGTAGAGGCAGAAAGCAATGCAATCTTTGTAACTAATTTGCATTAACGGACATGAGCCGATGACAATAGTGTGGGATAGCATAGGTATCCCACACACACACAAAAAACTGAATCATTCGATAATGCAATTCAAGAGTTTTCATTGGCTTAGTCATCATGGGTTATGAGCCATTATACTACGCTCTACAAATATGGTAAGCGTTTGCGTGATTTTTTGGGGGTGTTTTCATTTTATTTTAGTTTTCTGTAATTTGGGTGCGTTTTTGATGCAACAATTATTTCACTCTCGCCATATGAGATGATTATAGCCAACTCATATCCAGCGCGCGCTGGTGAAATAATTGTTAATTAACGGCACTTAGAATGTACTGGTGATGATATACCATACCTTACCAAAATTTAAACTGTCTTCAAAAGTGCTCAAGGCTAGTTTTTAAAAATGGTTGATCATACGCATTTCCTTTGAATGTTTTAGAACCTTTGAGGGGTTTTGTTGATCATTATCGGAAAACTAAATTAATTCAAAGTACAACTGAACCTCTGCCCAATTACGCCAAAGCGGATAACGTCAAAATGACCAATCACAACTGAAAGCTAAAACTGGCAAGTGCATTCTTAGCAGAAAATAAAAGAGAAATTGAGCACTGCGGTGAACGAAGAAGTTAATCATAAGAATGTTGAGCGATTGAGCATTCATCAATCGATCAATTGATTAATTGATTGAATTAAATAGCCTATTGCTATATTCTCACCATTCACTGTGTCAACGCATTTTCCATGCCATTTCTTTTAGCGCCTTCTGCGCCACCAGCTAACATATTAGCCACTTCAACAACATTCGATACGATATTTATCACATGGAACGAGGTTCCAATGCAGGAACGAAATGGTATAGTCCGGAAATACAGAGTATACGTAACAAATTCAGACCAGATCTTAGAACACACGTCAACTGTGGATGCTCACGTGACGTCATTGATAGTATCAAACCTTGTGCATAACACCCACTACTGTGCACAGGTAATGGCGTATACCGTGGCAGATGGACCTTTGAGCGCATGCGTGGATGTCATAACATTGGAAAAAGGTAAGACTTAATGGTCCACTTTTCCTCTCAAAATGCCGGAGAAGACGTGTGCTAAATTTTTGAGGTACTAGTTCGAGAATTTTTACTAGAGTTTTTTTTTGCTGTACTAGCGGTTCGCGACAACACCGCTCGCACGTCACTCTCACAGTCACAGTCACACTCTTACTTATTTTGCGTTCTTCCCGACGGATTTTCGAGGAAAAGAGAGACTGCTGGCAGTCTCTTCTGATTGGATGAAAAAGTGGCGCGAGTTTTTTATTTAGCCAATCACGTGGCGTAGTTAGTGCAAAACCAATCACTTTTCGACATTCAATTAAAATCGCACTAAAACAATGGGAATTCTTAGTACTTGCACTTATCTGGCAGGGGGTAGTAGGCACTTTTTCCGCGGGGTTAAATTTTAATTCATTTTCTTTGGCGCAGTCTAGGAACGAGAGACGATTGAGCAAGCTAGCGCTATATCAAATAGCCTTCGAGTAGTAATTAAAGCGAGCCAAAGCCATTCTTAGTTATTTTCAATACTGACTAGTTGCTAGTTCAATACTGACTAGTTCATATTGCTAGTTCAATACTGACTAGTTACATTAACCTTATTTTTGTGTCGATGCCACAAAGTTCCAACATGTCAAGACGCTCTGGGCATGGAAAGCGGAGCAATCTCGGATGCTCAAGTTACAGCTTCCTCACAACAAAATTTTCAGTATATTCATGCTGCCAATCACAGTAGACTCCACTTTCAACAAAATGGAATTAAAGCGGGAGGTTGGTCGGCAGCCACAAACAATAGCCATCAGTGGTTACAGGTTGATCTGGGTAGTCATGACTACAAAGTGACGCGTATAGCGACACAGGGAAGGCATTCTACCAATTACCAACAGTGGGTAACGAAGTACAAGCTTCAATACAGTAATGATGCAATGACCTTTTGGTACTACAGGGAACAAGGAATGACCACGGACAAGGTGAAAATTGCACAGCGGTTAAACGTACAACACATGTGCTGTTTCGTAACATTCGCTTAATACTGCCAGCCATAGCCCAATAGCCAAATGTTAACTTACATCTCTTGAAGAAAGATAATTTATAGGCCATTTAGTCACACGATCGGTGTCTCAAACCAATTCTGTGGGAGTTGAACTCTTTTCCTATGTAAACACTTTCTTTTGTTCCAATAAATTTGCAAAGCTGCTGGTATCTTCGTGTTCTCCAGATGAGGTTTCTTAAGTTTTTGGGTGATAATATTCGGCAGAAAGACCTTAACTTGCCATTCTCCATCTTACTGGACTAGGAATTTTCTGGAAACGAAAACCAAAGCACGGTTGTGTCACATGACTTAAACCCACAAATCAAAGCACGTTACATTCGTTTTGTACCAGTGGCTTGGCACGACTGGATATCAATGAGGGTGGAACTCTATGGTTGTGCAGGTACTGTATAAGATTTTTTTCAGTAATGTATTTTCAGTAATGTATTTTTAGTGATGTATTTTCAGTAATGTATTTTCAGTAATGTATTTTCAGTAATGTATTTTCGGTAATGTATTTTCGGTAATGTATTTTCGGTAATATATTTTCGGTAATGCATTTTCGGTAATGCATTTTCGGTAATGTATTTTCGGTAATGTATTTTCAGTAATTTATTTTCGGTAATGTATATTCAGTAATGTATTTTTTTTTCTCTGCGCCTGCTTTAACGAGGTGGTAACCCGCTCGAAAGCCAATGGTTACCACGCACATGTTTTTTTTTATTTTCTCCGTAGACATATGCAACATTTATTTCTTTTATAACACTGATGTCAATTTTAAAATTCTGTAAATAGTGCACAATAAAAAATATGATTGATTGACTGATCTTTACAGTATTATACTGCTTAATATGAACTCCAGTTAGTTTTGACAACGGACGCTTTGTTGTGATTCGAACGACATGCTTTCAATTCAAGCAAAGTTAAACTTCTCTAACCTCGCTTTCGGACACTATAATGATGTGCTCATTACGCCCTCTTGGTTATTGCATTTTTGAATATCTTGCGAACTATTTAAATAATTATGCTGTCGCATTTGAACTAGAAAAGAAACCTTAACTTTAAATGGGAGAAATTTAAATATTTGAATGAGTGTAAGTCATCGGCGTGAGCTTAAACGTCTTTTTTTTTTTTGTAGTATTATTTTTCATTCAAAGGCCGTTCACAAAATTACTGAGGATGCTTTTTATATTATTCTATCCTTTATTCTTCCTCCTCTTCCAATTCACCTTCGAATGATTCTGCGAAAAGCCTTGGTCTGCTTGAAGGAATAATTTCAAGGCTCCACCCTTCCCCCTCCCCCTTGAGCACGGTACACGAGAAAGTCCTCTTGACGTATCTACTTCCTCAATCAACTGCTGTTTGCTCTTGATCATGAATTACAGAATGCTCAACAGACTGGATTCAATATGAAAGCCACTGCTACAAAGCATTTCAAGTAGAAGTTAACTGGGACGACGCTAGACAAGAATGCCTGGATTTAAACTCAGACCTCGTGTCAATAACGAGCATTGCAGAGAATAGCTTCATAAATACAGCTTTCCTTCTTGATAATAAGGAAAGGGCTTGGATTGGACTCAATGATAAGGAAAAAGAAGACGAATTTCATTGGAGCGATGGAACACCGTATAATTTCTCAATTTTTAGTAAAACTGACATTGTTAATGGGAGAGGGGCAAACTGCGTATTTATTAAGAATGGAGAATGGTTTGAACATTCATGTTCTGGCAAGAGGCAGTACATCTGTAAAAAACGAGGTGAGAAAAGTTTCTCCAACCAAGCTATACTGAAAATGGAGGGGGTACTCTCAGAAAAATTGGGTAAGAGTGTACTGCCCGCTTCCCAAAACCCTTACCCTGTTTATGACCAAAATCGGCTATTTTCCCTACCGTATTACCTATGACCTGGCCAAAACTTCGGTACCCTATTTAAGACCTGATCCTTAAATCACTACCCTGTTTCAGACCTGCCCTATAATAAGTTCCCTAGTTCAGACCGATGTTAAAGGCATTGTGAAGGGCTTTTGTTGATGGTCTCATCGATAATGATGAAAAAGTAGTTTCGTCTAAAAATCATTCCCAATTCAAGACTAGTGTGCATGTGCAAAAACCATATCCTATTTGGGATTAGAATGGCCAAAATTGATACCCTGTCTATGACCAAAACGGATCAAATACCGTACCCTTTGGGGCTGCACATGCTTATATAGCCCACGTAAGGGAGTAACCCCCCCCCCCCGATCCTGTCACACTTTGTGAGGATTTTTCACACTTCAGGTCAAAATAATACTACCACCTATACCTATTCCTTCTAGACCTACTGTTCTCCATCCCTGCCTAGTACCACTTGAAAAAGTGTTGCCAATTAAGATTAGGGATGAATAAACTTGAATCAAAATATTATCTATATTTAATTACGTTAAAAAGTCAAACTGCTTAAATAGTCGGATGCAGAGTCGCTGAGTGTTTTTATGGTGCTAATTTTGTAATTCGGAGTTTCCAAGGTCAGTTCTTCACCCTGTCACTAACTAGATTTGTTCTCTTGCCCTGGTTGAAAAGTTTACCCTAAATATTTCAAGTTCGTCGTTTGTAATCCGTGTTAATCCTCTCCATTCTTAACCTTACTTATTCCTTTATGGTTTATTATTATCTCTTTGGTGTTTTCTATCTTAGTAAACAATTATTTTCAGTTTTCCTTTAATTTAAAGGTAATTTTGTGCAGAGCCAAAATAACTCAAAATACCGTGACTGAGCTCCTTTACTTTCTAAAAGAAAGATACCATCGAGAATCTAAGCCATTTAAAGATTCGCTCGATATATCAAGATATATAAAGACATATCAATCCTGTGTGGTTTTTCTGCGCCAGTTAATTCATAAAATTAAATACTGATTTTATTATGAACCTTCTTGGTGCGTCTAAACACAGGTTTCAGCCCCCCGCCATGCGAAGACGAACCGATTGGCAAAGTTCGCTTAAATGACGGCAACGTCTGGTGCGGGAACTTGAGTTTGCCTTCATATCTGCAAGTAGATCTGAACTCAACTTATGTCATCTGTGCTGTGGCAACTCAAGGAAATTCCAGCTCATTTGTCGAAGAATACAAAGTGGAATTGTCAAATAATGGGTCACGGTGGGAGTTTTATCAGGGTTTAACAGGTATCAAGGTAGGTTCCATAACTATATAGGAATGGCAAAAAAGCCAATAAGCTTGAAACGTAACAGCAGGGTACTATAGATTTAGCCAAGCGGAGCTCCTGATTACAGTCAATTAATCTGGCTTGAGCCTGCGGATCCAATCGAAAACCGGTACTCGTTCAGCGGACAACTTCTAAAAAACACAAGACCTCCATGTAGTCTAAACCTGAGCCGGCGATATGGTCACGTAACTGTCGTTTGAGCACTTTTTTTTTATTTTTTAGAATTTTACTGGAAATAACGACAGCTACACTGTCCGAAAGAACATCTTTGCTGAACGAGTTTACGCAAGATATGTCCGTATTTGGCCAACAAAGTGGTCACAGGCGCCGTGCATGCGCATTGAGTTGTACGGCCACGTTCCCTTTGTCGAGATTGGTAAGTCGAGGGACGTAACTCTGCCCAGTCCTCCAGCCGGGGATGAAATCCAGATTAAACAACTTAAAACAAATATAAAGATTGTTAAGACCCAGTTCAGACGCCGAACTTTTCAAGAGCCGAGCCTAATAGGTTGAATTAAAAACACGAAAAGTTCGCGTCTGAATCATTTAAGAACGGCGTTTTGAATTTGAAACGGCTCAGCCGTTCTCCCGCCTGGTTCAGCCGGAAATTTCAGCTCTGGAACGGCTTTGATTCAGACGTCTAACTTTTCATGTGCCGAACCTAATACGTTGAATTAAGTACACCGTGCCTGAAAATTGCTGATATTTCGATGCGTTTTGGTTCAAACTAAATTAAGTTCGGCGATTTTAGCTCGAGCTCTGAATCAACAGGCATACTTTTGATAATTTGGGTCGGCCCAAATTCGAATTAAGTTCGGCACATGAAAAGTTCGGCGTCTGAACTGGGCCTAGCTATTGCTTCAGTTAATTTGTTTAGACTTACGTCGATAACGTAGCCTCCCCCGTAGAGTAATTACTGATTTCCGGTCCAAAAAATAGAAATAATCGTTCGATCCTGATTTATTGACCGGTTAATAAGAGCAGTATAAATGTTCAAAAGAAAATAACAATGAAAGCCATTCAGAAAAGGAGTTTGATTTACATGAAATTGAACCTCTTGAAGGAACAAATTTTCATATGAACGGTTTGCTCGAAGACCCGTTTTTACACAGAGGCTAAAGGCAACTTGGAAATGGCCCATTCAGAGAGTATATGTACTTAAGCTTCAGCTTCATTCACATTTCCGGTTTACNAAATAATCGTTCGATCCTGATTTATTGACCGGTTAATAAGAGCAGTATAAAAGTTCAAAAGAAAATAACAGTGAAAACTAATCACATAGAAAAATGTCAAAGTATCATCTTGTGAAAAATCACAAACGTTTCGGGCAGAACACTTCCTCAGTGAAACCTTTAAATGTTCGGTTCGCGCGTCTGTTCATTTGAAAGTAGCCTACAGAAGCGAAGCACACGGAAACTAGACGCACGCGCGCCGTAAGTCCGTAACTATATAATGGAAAACATTATTTAGGCCCTCTGGTTGCACAGTGGCGAGCCTACAAATGATTTCCATTTCTAATTGCTCCCGTGTGAAACTAACACCAGTGCTCTTCCTCAGACCTCTCACAGCGATGTCTGAGAGACTGTGGTCGGGAGAGTTAGTGCTTGATTGATGGCGAATTTTGCTGACCGGATCAGTGATTTTTACCGTAGTCTATCAAACTTCTTTCTCATCTTGATCGGTTTTATGATTTTCCCGTCACACTTACGTAGATGATAGAAAACACCGATGACTTTTTCACTCTAGTGTTGAAACGATGAATAGGTAATTTGAATACACATCGTACAACAGGCCATCTCCGAGTTACCTTGTGGCTCTGTTTCAAAACCAGTCCTTGTTAAAGCCATTCAGAAAAGGAGTTTGATTTACATGAAATTGAACCTCTTGAAGGAACAAATTTTCATATGAACGGTTTGCTCGAAGACCCGTTTTTACACAGAGGCTAAAGGCAACTTGGAAATGGCCCATTCAGAGAGTATATGTACTTAAGCTTCAGCTTCATTCACATTTCCGGTTTACAGCGCTGAGTAGAACTCCTACTTCTATTCTTGATA